AAACTTTCAATAGATTTAGAATAGATTAGAATAATTTCTAACCGCTCCAGCTTTCCAAATGATAAAATACTGGAATTTGTTTCATAGAGATAACTGACAAGAAGAAATTTAAATCATACATAAAAACAACCCTCTTAGCCAGATCTTCAAAGTAGAAATGTTATAACAGGTAAATCAACGTATCTGCATTTTTGCATTAAAACGCAAATATGAATTTTTCGTTTCTTCCCCCCTCTTGTTTTTGTTTATTGTTCGTTTATCTTGTATTTTTTCTGGCACTTGAAAAAGGTTAACGGGCCAAAGTATCTTTTGAGATTAAAGATTAAAGAGAATCACTATTTTCCAGTTATACATGAATTCCTTGTTCTGTCAGTTTTTTGAATGTTGTCGTTGGCAAGGCTCTCGCCGAAAACCTGCAGTAATAACTCCTCGATATCCTGCTCATTTACATCTCCCAGTCTCGCTGTATTGATTATGTTAGGTTAACAATTTGGTCAACGATAGACTCTTCTCGTGAGAACTCTTAGATACCTCCAGCCATAACTTCTTCCACACTTCGTTCTTGCATTTGTCAGTTAATTCTTGCCAATCGATGTCGATATTGCCTAAGGTAACCATAATTTTATATTTTTTTCCAAAATTACACCAAACAAACATAGATCCGTTCACAAGCGAGGCACTTAATAAGAGTGATGCTATATCGAGATGCACTAAACATGTTGGGTCCCGCCTCGGCTAGCCCTGAAGTGAGTCTGATCAAACCCAACAGCGAGTTCTCGTAATGATCAAACATGACGTGCTTATATTATTATATTAGTGCTACAAAGCTGTTCATTTATGATTTTATATAAAATGCGCCATGATAGTTTTCTGTTAAGTATCCAAGAAAATTAAATTGTGAAATATAATAAATATAATGCACAACCGTTTTAGCGTATTACTATTTATTTTTATATTTTGGATTTGTCCAATATTTTTTAAGTTTGGCCGGATGACTGAGGGTCAAGGTGGCAGCCTACCGCTCTGGAGACCCGGATTCGAATCCGGACGGGTCGATAAATCCCTAGGAATTTTTCGGGGATGGTCCGTCCGGATATGTTGGGACCCGTCCTTCACCATTGTGGGCCTGGACGAAAACATAATGGGCTTTCTAAAAGAGGCCTTTTACTGCCCAGTTGGCGGAAAGAGTTTTTTAAGTTATATAAAATTAATATAATATCAATATTTTCGTATGTAACGAATAACGTATTAAATTTTGTTTATGTTCGGTGTTTAATTTTTAACAACTGTTCGAATAAATAAATCATTTAGCGAATACTGTATTCTATTCGTTTTTCTTTTTGTAATCTTATGTAATTAAGAAGATTTGACCTAATAATTTGCAAAATATATTTAAGAATTATGCATTTTTACACATTTCTTTTCATAGTTTGTGCAGTGTCCTATTTTAGGATAATTGGGATAATCAATAATAATTATGAATCATAAATAGATATTTAATGACGTGGATTATAAAATATGATAAATGCAATCAGATGCATATCATTCTGTAATAAATATGTTTATTTAGGGATATTTTTATAACAGATATTTCAAAATGTTCAGGCGATACTTTAAAATTTTTAAAAAGTATCATATTCCACTCTCTGATAATTACGGTATGATAACATCATTCTTTATGAAGGTCTTATAAATCTAATTAAGTACAGAAATAAATTATCTTGTTTATTTTTTCGTTAATCTGTATAAACATGGAATAATTAATGTATATAAAGCGATCCATATGAAACAGAGGAAACATATCACCCCAATATATTTTTACCAGTAAGATATCCTTCCTCTCAATGTATTTGTACTTTCTATCATACTAGAAAAATTAAAATTGTACTGTGTACAACAAATACACTTTATTTTGCATATACACTCAAAGTCCTACAATGAGAAATTTTTCTTACTCATTGTCATTGACCCGTTTTCCTATATTTATACAAATCGTCCCGATAAAGTGATAAAAGCATTCTCTTAAGCGTAAAAAAATGTGAACTATATAATTTTTCTTGGTATCGCTTGTAATATGCAACTTAGACAGTCAGCCCCGAAAAATTCCCGGAAAATTGCTCACCAAATTCTATTCTAGGTCCCACATAGCAGTAGACTAACGACATAACTGCGTAGGAAGGCCTAAACCAGGGGTGGAGAACCTTTTCTCATTTGAAGGCTACATGGGAGCTAACATCTTTCCAAAAAGGCCACATCCAAAAAAATAAAATTACTGCAAAATGCAAATAATTTAATACTAATTTAATTTATATACCACAGTGTTAGCCCTTTCAAGTATCTTATACTACCATATGCCAGAATTATCGCTGCCAGATAACAGCTTTTACCGAGAATCATCTCTCTTAGCTGAATCTCCATATTGCTAAAATTTGTTCACATATGTTAATTAATGTAATGTTATATATAGGCTATATATATATATATAACAATATGAAAACTTGTTTAAGAAGGCCATAGAAGGCTGCATATCACATCCCAAAAGGCTACAGGTTCTCATTCCTGGCCTAAACAACTGTCTCGGCCGTCATAAGCGAAGTGTTTACACAGTCAGATATTTAAATATCCTTGTTGCTAATCAATTATTTTTTGTTAGATCATTAAGTTTGCCTTATTGAACATATTGCAAGTAACTATTAGTGATGTTATTGTTTGAATTAATTAATTAATATTTATTAATCGTCTAATTATAGGTATACAGTAAACTGTATTATCGTCTATCTTCGAGTATACAAGAAAATTGAAGTATACAAGCAAAATGTAAATTAAATTTATTCATTATTCGTCAATAAAAAGTCCGTAAATGTTAGCAAAAAAATTTGTTTTTATTGATGGGATTCGCGTATTAAACTATACATTAAATTAATAAAGTACTGTAGATACGTATATGTTGTAAATTAAACCAAGTATTAAATGAAATGAAATAGGTGTATATGCATTGTAAATATAATTTATAACACATATACATCTATTATCTCACATAAAAATAACATTTAAGCTTCAGAGAATGAAAATTTTATTCATTTAGGATTTCATGTACAAAACTTTAATAATTTTGTAATTATTGTATTGTATTAATAAATTTGATATTTTTTACTGATAGATTAGTAAAAAGTCTAATATATATTTAATATTTATTTATATTTTCTTCTTTAAAAATATTAAATATTAGTTCTAAAATCAGAGTGAATACAACAATTACATGCACCTATACAATGTATTTTTTTGATCTACATTTGTCTATATATATCTAATAAATATTTGAATCACAAGGAGAAAAAGAAGTAAAATAATTTGGTCAAAAAGTAAAATTATTAGTTTTTTTTATTTTATTTTAAATGACATTGTTTCAGCGTCGAATAAATATCTAAGTACCATTAACTTAAAAATATTTATAAATTATAATTCTTTCTGTAGTTTCATTTGATTTTTGCTTTTTTTTTAAACTCTTTTTGCCTTGTGGGCAATAATAAAGGCCTCTTTTTAACAAGCCTGTTATGGATTCGGCCAGGCCACCATTTCCGGGAATTTTTTCGACACGTTCGGATTCGATTCCGGTTCCACCGACCAATGAGCTGCCACCGTTACCGCTCGGCCATCCGCAAGGACTTTAAACTACAAGGATGGCCAGATCCCGTATATTTGTTAGCATGACCTTGGATCTATGTGACGTCACAGCAAGTCTTCTACTTCAACATCACAGACCTTTCAAATAACAAAATACGATAAAATATTAAATCATTTCTTAANAAAGAAGGTTATTATTGCAACCATACACAGCACACCTAGTACTCAGTATTTTGTTCTTCACCTAACATAAAAATATAGCTTTAAATATTTAATGACTTATATTTAAATCATCTTACCTTATAAAAAACTTAGTCAAATAAAACAATTACAGAAATATTAAAATAAATCACTTCGTTAATCACAAAATTGGACGAATATTAAAAGCGAAAACTAAACACGTGCACACCCTGCTCTAGGTAAACAAAGAGGTCAGGACATGTGTGACGTCACTAACTTGCCATTCCTGGCTAACACTGTAGAATAGGGATCTGGCTATCCTTGTAGTATATTGTCCTTGGGCCATCCGGCTTCAGCCGTGACTTTTTCAAACCTTGTATACGTTAAATTCAACGCTATTCGTTAAACCGTAAATCATACGAAACCCGCTACATCGGCTGCCATTTTGAAATCGTTCAGAAAGAATAATTTTATTTTTCAGGAGTATTCCCAAATGCCAAAAAATAAAAATATTCATTAGTAGAAACTATAATAAACTCTTATACTTCAGTTAACTGACTTTTGGGACACACTGTATATTAATTAATAAGGATCATTTTAACTAAATTTTTTTAAATTTAATTATTCTAATATATGAATAATGTATTGATAAATAAATTACATATCTCAAGAAATATGTAATTTATTTATTAGAAACAATTTTTGGGTCTGTATATGTGTGAATACAGTATATATTATTTGTATACACCCCTTAATTCATGAACTTTAAGAATGCTAATTATTTTTTTTTTATAATAAATTCATGTAATTCAAGCATTAAATTCTAAAAAATTGTTTCCTTTGTTTTTATGAATTTCTTTTTATTAGAAATACATAATAGATCCATTATATACACCGAACAGTACAAAGTATATTAATCATAGATATCGATAAATAATCGATAGAATTTAATTTAAAAAGCATTAAATTTAATCGAACAATGCGAAATTAATTAAATGTAATGACTAAACAAAAAACTACGGATAATAAACACGAGAGAAAGTTTTTATTTTTTCTCATTTACTCGAGACGTTTCATGCATGAAAGAAAGACTGCACGTTACGTTCATGACCTCCTTTGTTAGGGTAGATTAGAATGTTAATTATATATATACATCGGGTCATATGATTCACTTTCACATATTTTCCTCGATAGAGGACGCTTGCGATGAAAAAAAAAAAAAAAAAAAGCAACGAGAAAATGAAACAAGAACTGACGACGATGACTCGTAACTAAATTCTTTTAAATTGAAAACAGAAAAAAGTATTAAAACGTCACAAAAAAGTACAAAACAGAGTCAAGATTACATCAAGTCGAGGGAAGAGAATCGAGAAATTGGATAAAATTTTAAGAAATACGTTCAAATTTTTAAAATTTTATTGTAAGGTAAGACGTTTATAAGCCATTATTTATCAATGAATAAGCCTAAATTCGCTAATAAATTGAATATTTTGATGCGTTTTATCACTCGACTTCGCCCTCATATAAATTGTTATTAATATTGAAGGATAGGCTTAGACATTGCTTTAACTTAATACATTTTCTGCGTATTTAATGAATTTCCTGCCATTTTGTAAATAAATCCATTCAAAAATCATCAATTTCAATGTTTCTACACTAAAAAACTTAACATTGTACATAAATTAATCAATTACAAATTATTTAAAAATGTGTACAGGAGTGAATTAATAATGGTTAAAGTATAATGATATTAATGACAATTAAATGACAGATTATTTAACTCTGAGGCCGTCGAATGTAGAGGTAATCTCTATCGAGGTAACCGTAGACAATATCTTGGTATAATTTAAAGTTTCATTATTCTCTTATATATAGAATCGCGTCGGTATTTATTATAAAAGGAAATATGTAATAAATATAATAACCGTATTTCCTCTTCCACCGTGAAACGCTAATGAAATTTTTGCTTATAACCAATATTTGATGATTCTATAAATGAAAGAATAACGAGGTTTTTTAAGTCATACAGGCTGTTGTGTTATAAGATGGTTTGTTGTCGGATTGTATGATGTACCAGTTGCGTTATGTAATAGTTTATTTAAAGTTCAGCCAAATTTGGAATCTTTATTTTAATATTTATGTATTTGATCGGGAGATTTGACTTTGTAGAAATTTTTAAAAATTTCTTCAAAGTGATAAAATCTATGGAGATGATTTAAGATCATATTTAATCTAATTTTTATATTTTCTCTTAATGTAATTAACTGTTATTTATAATATATATTTCTATGATTTTATATATGGAAGAATGGTAAAGTGTTAAATTATACAAAATTATGTTATAAATATATAATTTAACACTTCATTATTTTTGTATGTGGTTTGTGGAAACTTATTATTGAAGCTTTCTAATTTGAAAGTGTCCATTCTTTACTAATATTTACTTAAGATACTTAAAAGTTTATGATTTTGGAGTTTGCATAATGTTTAATTTCAATTTTGCAATTAAATATTAGATAAATATTACAAAACGAATAGATAAAAGATTATCTTTTTATTATAGGCTACGTAATTAATTGATTATTTATATATGAATACGTACATAGTTACAGGAAAAATGATCTTGTTGAAAATTTAATAACTGTCAAAGTACAAATTCTGAAATATATTATTTAACATAATCAATAAATCAATTTTTGAAAATAAATCAATAATGCAAGTTTTATAAAGTATGAATTTATTAAATTTATATATACTGTACATTGGTTTTTATAGAGTAGATTTGTAAAACAAAACATTCAAGAGCAAGTTATAAGATTACAAAATTTTTAAGTTTTATTCTTTAATATTTACCAATTTAGAATTTCAGAATAACAAAACATATAATAATGTCTAATGTATTGTTGATTTTATTGATAAGAATTTACATTAAATGTATATTTAACTATATCTAAAATAGAAATGTATAGATTATTTTTCTTAGTGATGTGTGAATATTCATAATTTAGTTACTTTATTAAAAGAAATTATCTTTAAATCATATCTAGATAATTCCTCATATAAGTGAAATCAAAAATTAAGAATATTTATTACAACGTTTGGTTCAATTAATAAAGAAAAATGTAGACTAAAGAAAGTTATTTTATGAAATATATTATAATACGTTAGAAAAGATTTTACAAAGCACAATTGAAATTGTGGTAAAGGGGAATAGAAAATGTGTTGTATACAGTATGGCTCTATCTAAAGGCTGTGCACATGCAGCTCACATTTTAGCTTTTGTGGCTATTTGCCAAATTTTTTCTGTAAAACAAAATCATACAATGCTGTGATTCTGAAGAAATGTCTAATATAGTATTTCTGAAAGACTACAAAAAGAAATCTTACAATTCTAATTCATTGAAGCATATAATTGAGTTGCTTATCAACTTTCTGTGGGTTAAAATGTAGTTTTCAGACATTCAAAAGGAGTTTTATTGTCTTCAGACATAATCATTTTCAAGTGAAAACAGAAAAAAGTTCAGAGAAGAATTTCTAAAACTTTAAAGATTAAATATAAAACAAAAAAAAAATAGTGATAATTCTTTTCTCACTCAAATTATCAAAGTCATATAAATTACATGTGTATAAATATATATACATATAAGCAAAAATATCTAAGTTTTTTTTAGTATGTGACATTTATCATCAACATGTCATTTTTAACATATTGATCATATAGAGGAAATATCAAGTATTTATTGGATATACAGTAGAGCATCGATTATCCGACTCAATTGGGGACTGGGGTTGGTCGGATAACTGAAAAAACGGATAACCGAAAAGTATGAAAAAATACATTATTAGCATAGTATATTAGGATATTAGTATATCCCATGTAATTAGTTTATTAGTATATCGCTATTACTTCACGTTGAATTTTCATCAATGTTAAGCCTAACAAAAAGTTTTTTTTAATAATAATCGTCGTTATTGTATCGTTAAAAATTAGAAAATTAAGCCTCGTTTAAATAGTGGCCTCCCTTTCATGGTTGAGACAGTGTTGCCAGCTAAAACACACAAAATTTAACAAAAATAATATTAAAGTAGCCAAGACATAGCCAAATATTGTAGTGCCACATCACTAGCAGACATTTGAATTTGCCGACTAGAACACGGTTAACTGATGTGACTGTTGATCGGGGTCGGATAATCGATGCTATACTGTATACATGTTATACATGGTTGCAATGATGTTGAAATATACCCATATACATGAGTTTAAAAATTCATGATTCAGTTACTTCATTGGAAATGACTGAATTACGGTCAGGAACAAATGTAACATATTTTAGGATTTTTAAAATAATTCTAAAATATATCTTGATTAACTAGCTTATACATCACCCCGTGTATTATATTTTTGTGACTGAAATTAGCTTACGAAATAAATAAAGCAAATTCTTTGCGTTTTTGCTATTGGTTATTGTCAAAATATTATTTTGACAATGATTCTCTTTGGGACATCACAATAAATAGCTAATGTATTTACTTAATGTGTGTTGTGATTGCTGATATTAATGGCATTGTCAAAAAAAAAAAAAAAAAACAAAAATGCAGTGCATGCAATATTATATATTATTTTATCAATGAACTTATCTCAATATCTCCAAATTTAAATCTTTCTGAATGTACAAAGTTTTGAATTAATTTTTTTCCCATCTTTGTTGCCACAATTTTCTTAATTAAAATTAAAATTACGCTCTCAATTATATTTCAGTTTATTTCTTAAAAATCTTTCAACAAAGCAGGAGTCTTCTATTTAAAAAAATTTACCGTAGAAACTGAAGAGGAATGTTATAAAAACTTTGAGGAACATTCAAAATGCATTTTACTTTAACCGGATGGTTTAACACAGATTACATGGATATAGTGGAACCTCACTTAATGAGCGACGTTTCGCATAATGAGTGACCAGGAGAGGGGAAGTCCCGGATTGTGCACATGCTCCATCAGTCTGTGTTTAGCACTCACTTGTTTTGCTAGCATCTTAGTGTCACTTGTGATCACACATCTTTCTGAACTTGTGTTCACACATATTACGTTTAAACATCAACAATCATAGCCTATTATACAATAAACACGCCAAACGATATGCCAAATTCTTGGGCTATGTAAAGGCTATAATGAAATATTAAAAATTAATTAATTTGACTAGAGGTAGGCAGTTATGCTGCTATATTGTATTAAATTTAATGACCAATTCCAAATTAAATTTTAGAAATGTCTAAATTAAAAATTAATTATTTATAATTGTTAAATTCAATATGAGATGGCAGCATAACTGACTACCTGTAGTCTAATTAATTAATTTCTAATATTTAATTACAGCCTTTTCATAGCCCAAGAATTTGGCATATCATTTGATGTGTTTATCAGACATTATCTGTGATTTTTTTTTTTTTCCTGCAAATTGAATTCGCATTCCAGGTTGGTTCATTCTGCGCTAGAAGAAAAGATGATGATGATTCATGCTCCTTAACAATGCATATTGTATGATTTTCTTTGAATAAACATTATACAGTAATACCCTGAACTTACGCGATAGGTGGGACCGAGCGATAACCGCGTAAGTCTAGTAATAATTTCCCAATTTGTGTAAAATCCAAGTTGAATGTATGTAAGCTAATAAATGTTCTCGTTAATCTTATCTCGTCTTTTGATTCGTTCACAGTTACAAGAAATCACCACATAGAGTCTCTCGAGTCTCCGTAGATATAACAAACACAGAAATAAATAACACAAATTAAATTGTAGCTATGTGTCGATTCCACGCGACACGTTCGAACATGTAAGCTGAACAATAGTGTGGGGGGAGTGAGTAATCGAGAGTTGCGTGGTGCTCAAACAAAAGACAAATCAATAAGATTTGAAAATCGCGTAACTTGGGTTCGTGTAAGTCAAGATATTACTGTACATAAAATATTTGCGTGTTTTTTTTTTTTTTTGGCATGGAACACATTATCATATTTTACATTAATTTATATGGAAAAAATTTTTTTCTTAATGATTGTTTCACATTACAAGTAAGATTCTGGAACAAATTATGCTCGTTAAGCAAGGTTCCACTATAATTTTAATTAAGAAAACTTGTTTGGTTTTTAAATAGAAGATTTCTGCATCGTTGAAAGATATTAAGAAAAAACTTGAATATAACTAAGAATGTAATTTAAATTTTTTTTCTATTTGGAACTATGTATGAATTCTGAAATATTTTCAATAAACCAATCAAAATGCTTTATTCAGGTTACAAAATTTACATTCCAAATAGTTTCAAGTTTGTTAAGCTGGAAAATATGAGAAAAAGAAAAATATATATCATTTAGTAGAAAATTAACTTATTTCAGAATTAAATTAAATCATGCAATAAAGTCTAATTTTAATGC